TTTTGGGATGGGATCCAAGGACGTTTTGGGACCCAGGAAGATTCTGGGATGCGATTCCAAGGACGTTTTGGGATCGGAGGAGATTTTGGGATGGGATTCCAAGGAGATTCTGGGATGCGATGCCAAAGACATTTTGGGATCCAGGGGGATTCTGGGATGGGATTCCAAGGACGTTTTGGGATGGGATTCCAAGGACGTTTTGGGATCCGAAGGGATTTAGGGATGGATTTCAGTGACGTTTGGATCCAGGGGGATTCTGGGATGGGATTCCAAGGACGTTTTGGGATCGGAGAAGGTTCTGGGGTGGGACCCGAGGCCGTTTTGTGCTCCCCAGGGGGATTTGGGGCTCCAGGGACATTCTGGGGTGGGACCCGAGCCGTTTTGTGCCCCCCAGGGGGATTTGGGGCTCCAGGGACATTCTGGGGTGGGACCCGAGGCCGTTTGGTGCCCCCCCAGGGATTTGGGGCTCCAGGGACATTCTGGGGGTGGGACCCGAGGCCGTTTTGTGCCCCCCAGGGGATTTGGGGCTCCAGGGACATTCTGGGGTGGGACCCGAGGCCGTTTGGTGCCCCCCAGGGGGATTTGGGGCTCCAGGGACATTCTGGGGTGGGACCCGAGGCCGTTTTGTGCTCCCCAGGGGATTTGGGGCTCCAGGGACATTCTGGGGTGGGACCCGAGGCCGTTTGGTGCTCCCCAGGGGGATTTTGGGGCTCCAGGGACATTCCGGGATGGGACCCGAGGCCGTTTTGTGCCCCCCAGGGGGATTTGGGGCTCCAGGGACATTCTGGGGTGGGACCCGAGGGCCGTTTTGTGCTCCCCAGGGGGATTTGGGGCTCCAGGGACATTCTGGGGTGGGACCCGAGGCCGTTTGGTGCCCCCCAGGGGTTCGGGGGCCGGCCGTTCCCCCCTCTCACCCCCTTTCCCCCTTTCCCCCCTCAGGGCGGCGGCCTGGACGCGCTCAGCGATCGCTTCCAGCCCCACCCGGCGCCGGCGCCGCCGCTGCTGCTGGAGCCCAAAGCCGGGGTGTTCTCCCAGCCCTTCCCTCCCTTCATCCTCCTCCTCATCGTCATCCTCGTCATCCTCATCCTCCTCATCCTCGTTCCCGGCCGTGCTGCGGCAGAAGGGGCCCTTCCCCGTGCCCGGCCCCCCTCACCCTCCTCACCCTCCTCATCCTCCCCATCCCCCTCATCCTCACCCTCACCCTCCCCCGGCGGCTCCCGGGGCGGGGGGGGGCGCGCGGAACGTTCCAGAACGGCCCCGGGGCCGCCCTGGGCATGGGCCCGGCCGGGGCTCGGCCGCCCCCCGAAGCGCCCCCAACCAGCTCCGGCTGCAGCTACAGCAGCGCCTGCAGGGACAGCAGCAGGTAACGGGGAAAAACACCCAAAAATGTACCCAAAACCACCCCAAAAATAGCCAAAATATCCCCCAAAATATCCCCAAAAATATCCCTAAAAATACCCAATATATCCCCCAAAAAATCCCCCCAAATTCCCCAAAAATACCCCAAAATATCCCAAAATATCCCCCTAAATATCCCTAAAAATACCAAAAAAATCCCCCAAAATATTCCCCAAAAATACCCAAAATATCCCCCAAAACACCCAAAATATCCCTACAAATACCCAATATATCCCTCAAAATATCCCTGAAAATACCCAAAATATCCCCCAAAAATACCCAATATATCCCTCAAAATATCTCTAAAAATACCCAAAATATCCCCCCCAAAATATCCCCCAAAAAATCCCTCTAAATATCCCCCCAAAAAAACCCAAAATACCCCCCAAAATATCCCCCCAAAACACCCAAAGTATTCCCCAAAATATCCCTAAAAATACCCAATATATCCCCCAAAATATCCCTAAAACTACGCAAAATACCCCCCAAAAATACCCTAAAAACCCTCGAAATATCCCCCAAACCATCCCAAAATATCCCCTCAAAAATCCCCAAAATATCCCCAAAAACCCCCAAAATATCCCCCAAAAACCCCCAAAATATCCCCCAAAAACCCCAAACTGTGCAGCGGCTGCTCCCAGCCAGCTCCGGCTGCAGCTGCAGCAGCGCCTGCAGGGACAGCAGCAGGTGAGGGACAAAAAACATCCAAAAATAGGCCCAAAACCACCCCTAAAAATCCCACAAAAATCCCCAAAATATCCCCCCAAAAACCCCCAAAATATCCCCCAGAAACCCCCAAAATATCCCCCAAAAACCCCAAACTGTGCAGCGGCTGCCCCCAGCCAGCTCCGGCTGCAGCTGCAGCAGCGCCTGCAGGGACAGCAGCAGGTAACGGGGGAGGGGGAAAAAAAAAAACACCCAAAAATGTACCCAAAACCACCCAAAAAATAGCCAAAATATCCCCCAAAATATCCCCCAAAATATCCCTAAAAATCGCCCCAAAAACCCCAAACTGTGCAGCGGCTGCTCCCAGCCAGCTCCGGCTGCAGCTGCAGCAGGCGCCTGCAGGGACAGCAGCAGGTAATGGGGGGGAAAAACACCCAAAAATGTACCCAAAACCACCCCAAAAAATCACAAAAATCCCCAAAATATCCCCCCAAAACAGCCAAAATATCCCCCAAAATATCTCTAAAAATACCCAATATATCCCCCAAAAATCCCCCTAAATTCCCCAAAAATACCCCAAAATATCCCCAAAATATCCCCCTAAATATCCCCTAAAAATACCAAAAAAATCCCCCAAAATATTCCCCAAAAATACCCAAAATATCCCCCAAAATACCCAAAATATCCCCCAAAATATCCCTACAAATACCCAATATATCCCTCAAAATATCCCTGAAAATACCCAAAAGTATCCCCCAAAAATACCCAATATATCCCTCAAAATATCTCTAAAAATACCCAAAATATCCCCCCCAAAATATCCCCCAAAAATCCCCAAAATATCCCTCTAAATATCCCCCCAAAAAAACCCCAAATACCCCCCAAAATATCCCCCAAAACACCCAAAGTATTCCCCAAAATATCCCTAAAAATACCCAATATATCCCCCAAAATATCCCTAAAAATACGCAAAATACCCCCCAAAAATACCCTAAAAACCCTCGAAATATCCCCAAACCATCCCAAAATATCCCCTCAAAAATCCCAAAATACCCCCCAGAAACCCCCAAAATATCCCCCCCAAAACCCCCAAAATATCCCCCCAAAACCCCCAAAATATCCCCCAAAAACCCCCAAAATATCCCCCAAAAACCCCCAAAATATCCCCCCAAAAACCCCAAACTGTGCAGCGGCTGCCCCCAACCAGCTCGGCTGCAGCTGCAGCAGCGCCTGCAGGGACAGCAGCAGTTAATGGGGGGGGAAAAACACCCAAAAATGTACCCAAAACCACCCCAAAAAATCCCACAAAAATCCCCAAAATAACCCCCCAAAACACCCAAAAACCCCCCAAAATATCCCTAAAAAACCCAATATATCCCCCCAAAAATCCCCCCAAATTCCCCAAAAATACCCCAAAATATCCCCAAAAATATCCCCCTAAATATCCCTAAAAATACCAAAAAAATCCCCCAAAATATTCCCAAAAATACCCAAAATATCCCCCAAAATACCCAAAATATCCCCCAAAATATCCCTACAAATACCCAATATATCCCTCAAAATATCTCTAAAAATACCCAAAATATCCCCCAAAAATACCCAATATATCCCTCAAAATATCTCTAAAAATACCCAAAATATCCCCCCCAAAATATCCCCCAAAAATCCCCAAAATATCCCTCTAAATATCCCCCCAAAAAAACCCCAAAATACCCCCCAAAATATCCCCCCAAAACACCCAAAGTATTCCCCAAAATATCCCTAAAAATACCCAATATATCCCCCAAAATATCCTAAAACTACGCAAAATACCCCCAAAAATACCCCTAAAAACCCTCGAAATATCCCCCAAACCATCCCAAAATATCCCCTCAAAAATCCCCAAATACCCCCAAAAACCCCCAAAATCCCCAAACCCCAAAAACCCCCAAACCCCAATATCCCCCCAAAACCCCCAAAATATCCCCCCAAAAACCCCAAAAATATCCCCCAAAAACCCCCAAAATATCCCCCAAAAACCCCAAACTGTGCAGCGGCTGCTCCCAGCCAGCTCCGGCTGCAGCTGCAGCAGCGCCTGCAGGGACAGCAGCAGGTAATGGGGGGAAAAACACCCAAAAATGTACCCAAAACCAACCCAAAAAATCCACAAAAATCCCCAAAATATCCCCCCAAAACACCCAAAATATCCCCCAAAATATCTCTAAAACATACCCAATATATCCCCCAAAAATCCCCCCAAATTCCCCAAAAATACCCCAAAATATCCCCAAAATATCCCCCTAAATATCCCTAAAAATACCAAAAATCCCCCAAAATATTCCCCAAAAATACCCAAAATATCCCCCAAAACACCCAAAATATCCCTACAAATACCCAATATATCCCTCAAAATATCCCTGAAAATACCCAAAATATCCCCCAAAAATACCCAATATATCCCTCAAAATATCTCTAAAAATACCCAAAATATCCCCCCCAAAATATCCCCCAAAAAATCCCTCTAAATATCCCCCCAAAAAAACCCCAAAATACCCCCCAAAATATCCCCCCAAAACCACCCAAAGTATTCCCCAAAATATCCCTAAAAATACCCCAATATATCCCCCAAAATATCCCTAAAAATACGCAAAATACCCCCCAAAAAATACCCTAAAAACCCTCGAAATATCCCCCAAACCATCCCAAAATATCCCCTCAAAAATCCCCAAAATATCCCCCAAAAACCCCCAAAATATCCCCCCAAAACCCCCAAAATATCCCCCCAAAACCCCCAAAATATCCCCCAGAAACCCCCAAAATATCCCCCCAAAACACCCAAAATATCCCCCAAAATATCCCTAAAAATACCCAATATATCCCCCAAAAATCCCCCCCAAATTCCCCAAAAAATACCCCAAAATATCCCCAAAATATCCCCCTAAATATCCCTAAAAATACCAAAAAAATCCCCCAAAATATTCCCCAAAAATACCCAAAATATCCCCCAAAAACACCCAAAATATCCCCCAAAATATCCCTACAAATACCCAATATATCCCTCAAAATATCCCTGAAAATACCCAAAATATCCCCAAAAATACCCAATATATCCCTCAAAATATCTCTAAAAATACCCAAAATATCCCCCAAAAAATCCCTCTAAATATCCCCCCAAAAAACCCCCAAAATACCCCCCAAAATATCCCCCCAAAACACCCAAAGTATTCCCCAAAATATCCCTAAAAATACCCAATATATCCCCCAAAATATCCCTAAAAATACGCAAAATACCCCCAAAAATACCCTAAAAACCCTCGAATATCCCCCAAACCATCCCAAAATATCCCCTCAAAATATCCCCCAAAAACCCCCAAAATATCCCCAAAAACCCCAAACTGTGCAGCGGCTGCTCCCAGCCAGCTCCGGCTGCAGCTGGCAGCAGCGCCTGCAGGGACAGCAGCAGGTGAGGGACAAAAACATCCAAAAATAGGCCCAAAACCACCCCTAAAAATCCCACAAAAATCCCCAAAAAATACCCAAAATATCCCCCAAAACATACCCCAAAAATACGCCAAAATAGCCCCCCAAAAAGCCCCCAAAAATACCCCCCAAAATATCCCCCAAAAATAACCAAAATATCCTTAAATATTCCCCAAAAATCCCCCAAAATATCCCCAAAATATCCCTAAAAATATCCCCAAAATATCCCTAAAAATACCCCAAAATCCCCAAAAATAACAAAAAAATCCCCCGAAACCACCCCCAAATATCCCCCAAAAATCTCCAAAATCCTCCCCAAAATCCCCAAAATATCCCCAAAACATCCCCCCAAAATACCCAAAATACCTGCTAAAAATACTGAAATAAACTCCCAAAAATTACATTAAATCCAAAGAATTAGAAAGCCCCCAAAAAAAATCCCATAAAAACCCCCTAAAAACCCCATTTAAAAACTCCATTTAAAACCCCCCAAAACCCAAAAAAACCCCCATAAAAACCCCATAGAACCCCATAAAAACCCCATGAAAACCCCATTAAAACCCCGATAAAAACCCCATTAAAAACCCCATAAAAACCCAAATAAACCCATTAAAAACCCAGAAGACCCCATTTAAAACCCTATTAAAAACCCCGTGAAAAACCCCATGAAAACCCCATAAAAACCACATGAAAAACCCCATTAAAAACCCCATAAAAACCCCATAAAACCCCGTTAGAAACCCCATGAAAACCCCCTAGAATCCCCATTAAAAAACCCCATTAAAACCCATTAAAACCCCATTAAAAACCCCATGGAACCCCATTGAAAACCCCATAGAAACCCCCATGAAAATCCCATAAGAACCCAAATAAAGCCATTAAAAAACCCCATGGAAACTCCATTAAGAACTCCATAAAAACCCAAAAAAAGCCCCAAAAAACCCCATTATAACCCCATAAAAACCCCATGAAAAACCCCATGAAAACCCCGATAAAAACCCCATAAAGACCCCATTAAAAACCCCATAGAGGCCCATAAAAAAACCCATGAAAACCCCACTGAACTCCATTAAAAACCCCATTAAAAACCCCATTAAAAACCCCCATGGAACCCCATTGAAAACCCCATAGAACCCCCATGAAAATCCCATAAGAACACCAAATAAAGCCATTAAAAACCCCATGAAAACCCCATGAAAACTCCATTAAAAATTCCATAAAAACCCCAAAAAACCCATTATAATCCCATTAAAACCCCATAAAAAACCTATAAAAACCCGATGAAAACCCCATTAAAAACCCGATGAAAACGCCATTAAAAACCCCATAAAAACCCGATGAAAACCCCATTAAAAACCCCATTAAAACCCCATAAAAACCCCATTAAAAACCCCATAGAACCCCATTAAAAACCCCATATAACCCCCATGAAAATCCCATAAAAACCCCCTAAGAACCCAAATAAAGCCATTAAAAACCCTATGAAAACCCCATTAAAAAACTCCATAAGAACCCCATAAAAACCCCATTACAAACCCCATTAAAACCCCATGAAAATCCCATAAAAACCCCATGAAAACCCCATTACAAACCCCATGAAAAGCCCATAAAAACCCCATGAAAACCCCATTACAAACCCCATAAAAACCCCATGAAAACCCCATTGAACCCCATAAGAACCCCATTAAAAACCACATTAAAACCCCATAGAGCCCCATAAAAAACCCCATGGAAATCCCATTAAACCCCCAAAAAACCCCATAGAAACCCCATGAAAACCCCCAAAAAAAACGAAATAAACCCATTAAAAACCCCATGAAAACCCCATTAAAAACTCCATAAGAACCCCAAAAAAACTCCAAAACCCCAAAGAAAGCCATTATAACCCCATAAAAACCCCATAAAGACCCCATTAAAAACCCCATTAAAAACCCCATGAAAACCCCATTGAACACCATAAGAACCCCATTAAAAACCCCAGAAAAACCCCATGAAAACCACATTAAAAACCTCATAGAAACCACATTAAAAACCTCATAGAAACCCCATAAAAAGCCCATTGAAAACCCCATAAGAATGCCATAAAACCCTATAAAAGCCCAATAAGAAACCCCCTAAAAACCCCATAGAAACCCCATCCAAACCCGTTTGTTGCGTTGCAGTTGCTGCAGCAGAACCGCCAGGCGGCGCTGCTGGGGCACTTCGGGGCGCCCGTGGGGCTCTCGCTGCGCGCCGGGATCCCGCAGCAGCAGCAGCAGCAGCAGCCGCAGGTAACCCAAATGGGGAAATCTGGGGTTTTTATGGGGATTTGGGGGTTTGTTTGGGGTGTTTGGGGTTTGGGAATTGAGATGTGGAGCGTTTGGGGTTTGGGCTCTCACTGTGTGCCGGGATCCCGCAGCAGCAGCAGCAGCAGCAGCCGCAGGTAACCCCAAATGGGGAAATCTGGGGTTTTTATGGGGTTTTGGGTTTGTTTGGGGTGTTTGGGGTTTGGGAATTGAGATATGGAGTGTTTGGGGTGTTTGTGATTTGGGATTTGAGATTTGGAGCGTTTGGGGTTTGGGCTCTCACTGTGTGCCGGGATCCCGCAGCAGCAGCCAGCAGCAGCCACAGGTAACCCCAAATGGGGAAATCTGGGGTTTTTATGGGGTTTTGGGGTTTGTTTGGGGTGTTTGTGATTTGGGATTTGAGATTTGGAGCGTTTGGGGTTTGGGCTCTCACTGTGTGCCCGGATCCCGCGAGCAGCAGCAGCTTAGCAGCAGCAGCCGCAGGTAACAACGGGGAAATTTGGGGTTTTTATGGGGTTTGGGGGTTTTGTTTGGGGTGTTTGTGGGGTTTTGATGGGGTTTGGGGTTTGAGAATTGAGATTTGGAGTGTTTGGGGTGTTTGTGATTTGGGATTTGAGATTTGGAGCGTTTGGGGTTTGGGCTCTCACTGTGTGCCGGGATCCCGCAGCAGCAGCAGCAGCAGCCACAGGTAACCCCAAATGGGGAAATCTGGGGTTTTTATGGGGTTTTGGGGTTTGTTTTGGGGTGTTTGGGGTTTGGGAATTGAGATTTGGAGTGTTTGGGGTTTGTGGTTTTTGGGGTTTGTGATGGGGCTCTCGCTGCGCGCCGGGATCCCGCAGCAGCAGCAGCCTAGCAGCAGCAGCAGCGCAGGTTAACAACGGGGAAATTTGGGGTTTTTATGGGGTTTGGGGGTTTGTTTGGGGTGTTTGGGGTTTGGGAATTGAGATTTGGAGCGTTTGGGGTTTGGGCTCTCACTGTGTGCCCGGATCCCGCAGCAGCAGCAGCAGCAGCAGCCGCAGGTAACCCCCAAATGGGGAAATCTGGGGTTTTTATGGGGTTTTGGGGTTTGTTTGGGGTGTTTGGGGTTTGGGAATTGAGATTTGGAGTGTTTGGGGTGTTTGGGGTTTGGGAATTGAGATTTGGAGCGTTTGGGGTTTGGCTCTCACTGTGTGCCCGGATCCCGCAGCAGCAGCAGCAGCAGCAGCCGCAGGTAACCCCAAATGGGGAAATCTGGGGTTTTTATGGGGTTTGGGGGTTTGTTTGGGGTTTTTGTGGGGTTTTGATGGGGTTTGGGGGTTTGAGAATTGAGATTTGGAGTGTTTGGGGTGTTTGTGATTTGGGATTTGAGATTTGGAGTGTTTGGGGTTTGGGCTCTCACTGTGTGCCCGGATTCCCGCAGCAGCAGCAGCTGCAGCCGCAGCCGCAGGTAACCCCAAATGGGGAAATTTGGGGTTTTTATGGGGTTTTGGGGGTTTGTTTGGGGTTTCTTTGGGGTTTGGGGTGTTTGTGATTTGGGATTTGAGATATGGAGCGTTTGGGGTTTGGGCTCTCACTGTGTGCCCGGATCCCGCAGCAGCAGCAGCAGCAGCAGCCGCAGGTAACCCCAAATGGGGAAATCTGGGGTTTTTATGGGGTTTTGGGTTTGTTTGGGGTGTTTGGGGTTTGGGAATTGAGATTTGGAGCGTTGGGGTTTGGGCTCTCACTGTGTGCCCGGATCCCGCAGCAGCAGCAGCAGCAAGCAGCAGCCGCAGGTAACAACGGGGAAATTTGGGGTTTTTATGGGGTTTGGGGGTTTGTTGGGGTTTTTGTGGGGTTTGATGGGGTTGGGGTTTGAGAATTGAGATTTGGAGTGTTTGGGGTGTTTGTGATTTGGATTTGAGATATGGAGCGTTTGGGGTTTGGGCTCTCACTGTGTGCCCGGATCCCGCAGCAGCAGCAGCAGCAGCCACAGGTAACCCCAAATGGGGAAATCTGGGGTTTTTATGGGGTTTTTGGGGTTTGTTTGGGGTGTTTGGGGTTTGGGATTTGAGATATGGAGCGTTTGGGGTTTGGGCTCTCGCTGCGCGCCGGGATCCCGCAGCAGCAGCAGCAGCAGCAGCCGCAGGTAACCCCAAATGGGGAAATCTGGGGTTTTATGGGGTTTTGGGGTTTGTTTGGGGTGTTTGGGGTTTGGGATTTGAGATTTGGAGTGTTTGGGGTTTGTGGTTTTTGGGGTTTGGGATGGGGCTCTCGCTGCGCGCCGGGATCCCGCAGCAGCAGCAGGTAACACAGTTTGGGGTCGTTTGGGAGTTTTTATGGTGTTTTTATGGTGTTTTTATGGTGTTTTTATGGGGTTTTTATGGTGTTTTTATGGGGTTTTAATGGTGTTTTTATGGGGTTTTTATGGTGTTTTTATGGGGTTTTGGGGTCGTTTGGGGTGTTTGGATTTAGGAATTGAGATTTGGGGTGCTTGGGGTTTGGGATTTTTAGGGTTTGGGGTGGGTTTGAGCTCTCCCTGTGTGCTGGGATCCCGCAGCAGCAGCAGCAGCCACAGGTAACATGGAGGGATTTGGGGGGTTTTTTGGGGTTTTTAATAGGGTTTTTGATGTGGTTTTGGGGTTTGTTTGGGGTTTTGGAGTGTTTGGGGTTTGGGGTGGGAATCTCCATGAGGATTGGGATGCAGCAGCAGCAGCAGGTGACGTGGGGTTCGGGGGTTTTGGGAGTTTTTTCAGGATTTTTTTTGAATTCTTTGCTCTTTTGGGGGTGTTTCGGGGGAATTTTTTAAAATTCTTTGGGGTTTCTATGGAATTTTGGGGGGGGTCTTGGGGGGGGTTTCAGAGAATTTTTAAAAAAATTCTTTGGGGTATTTTATGGAGTTTTTTGGGGGTTCTGGAATTGGGATTTAGGGTTTGGAATTTGGAACGGCGTTGAGCTGGGTTTAAGGATGGATTTTTGCCTTGGGATTTGCGGTTTGCGATCTGCCATCTGAATTTTTCCATTTCCAAGTCCCAAAACCTCCTCAGCAACCCCCCCAGGGCCGATTCCTGGCTGGAATTTCGGGATTTTTTTTGGGAAATCTCACCCCTGACCCCATCCTGTCTCACAGGCCCCCTACAGGGCTGATTCCTGGCTGGAATTTCGGGATTTTTTACCCCTGTCCCCCCAGTTCCATCCCACAGCCGCCCCTAAACGCGCAGACGCCGGCAGAGCTCTGGGCCGGTTCCTGGCTGGAATTTCGGGATTTTTTTGGGGATACCTCACCCCTGACCCCCTCTCTGATCCCACAGCCGCCCTGGTTGGAATTTTGGGATTTTTTTGGGGATACCTCACCTCTCACCCCCAATTCCATCCCATCCTGTCCCACAGCTGCCCCTGAACGCGCAGCGGCAGCGGGAGCTCTGGGCTGATTCCTGATTGGAATTTCGGGATTTTTTTGGGGGGATACCTCATCTCTCACCCCAATCCCATCCCAATTCCGTCCCACAGCCGCCCCTGAACGCGCAGACGCCGGCAGAGCTCTGGGCCGGTTCCTGATTGGAATTTCGGGATTTTTTTGGGGATACCTCACCCCTGACCCCCTCTCTGATCCCACAGCCGCCCCTGAACGCGCAGATGCCGGCAGAGCTCTGGGCCGGTTCCTGGCTGGAATTTCGGGATTTTTTTGGGGGTACCTCACCCCTGACCCCCTCTCCGATCCCACAGCCGCCCCTGAACGCGCAGACGCCGGCAGAGCTCTGGGCCGGTTCCTGGTTGGAATTTCGGGATTTTTTTGGGGGGATACCTCACCCCTGACCCCCTCTCCGATCCCACAGCCGCCCCTGAACGCGCAGATGCTGGCGCAGCGGCAGCGGGAGCTCTACAGCCAGCAGCACCGGCAGCGGCAGCTGATGCAGCAGCGCGCGCTCCTCATGCGCCAGCAGCAGCAGCAGCAGCAGCAGCAGCAGCAGAATTTCGGGAATTCCCCCCTGGGGACGCCCATGGGAACGCCAATGGGGACCCCCATGGGAACCCCAATGGGGACCCCCATGGGGACGCCGCGGCAGCAGCAGCAGCAGCAGCAGCAGTTCCCGTTCCCCACGCCCGGTTACGGTACGAGCGGCCCCGGCGCCGGCGTGGCCGCGTTCGGGGCTCCCGAGGCGGCGCTGGGGACGCGCGGGGGCCTCGGGGGCCGCGCCGTGATGGGAGCGGCGCCGGCGGCGGCACCGGCGGCGCCGGCGGCGCCCTACGGAGCCGGGATGGGGATGCAGCAGAACCTCTTCCAGTACCCGGGGGCAGGTACAGGGGGGGCATGGGGGGTGTGTGGGGTTTGGGGTGTTTGGGGGTTTTGGGGTATTTGGGAACCTCTTCCAGTACCCGGGGGCAGGTACGGGGGGGGGCATGGGGGGTGTGTGGGGTATGGGGGATTTGGGGGTTTTGGGGTGTTTGGGAACCTCTTCCAGTACCCAGGGGCAGGTACGGGGGGGGCATGGGGTGTGTGTGGGGTTTGGGGTGTTTGGGGGTTTTGGGGTGTTTGGGGCGTTTGGGATGTTTGGGGGTTTTGGGGTATTTGGGAACCTCTTCCAGTACCTGGGGGCAGGTACAGGGGGGGGCATGGGGGGTGTGTGGGGTTTGGGGTGTTTGGGGGTTTTGGGGTGTTTGGGGCGTTTGGGATGTTTGGGGGTTTTGGGGTATTTGGGAACCTCTTCCAGTACCTGGGGGCAGGTACGGGGAGCATGGGGGTTTGGGGGTTCGGGGTGTTTGGGGTGTTTGGGGTATTCGAGAACCTCTTCCAGTACCCAGGGGCAGGTATGGCGGGTTTGAGGTGTGTGTGGGGTTTGGGGGGAGTTTGGTGTGTTTGGGGTATTTGGGGTATTCAGGACATTTGGGGTACTTGGGGTGTCTGTGGTACTTCAGGGTTTTGGGGTGTTTGAGGTGTCTGGGACATTCAGGGGGTTTGGGGGGTTTGGAGTGTTCAGGGGATTGGGAGTGTTTGGGAACCTCTTCCAGTACCCAGGGACAGGTACAGGAGGCACAGGGGTTTGGGGGATTTGGGGTGTTTGGGGTATTGAGGGCATTTGGGGTACTCGGGGTGTTTGGGGTATTTGGGGGTTTTGGGGTATTTGAGGTGTGCGGGGGATTCGGGCCGTTTGGGGTATTTGGGGTGTTTGGGGTATTCAAGGCGTTTGGGGTATTCACGGTGCTTGGGGTATTCACGGTGCTTGGGGTGTTTGGGGTATTAAGGGTGTTTGGGATATTCTGAATATTTTGGATATTCAGGGCATTTGGGGTATTCGGGGTATTTGGAATGTTTGGGATATTCGGGGAATTGGGGATGTTTGAGGTATTCGGAGGATTTGGGGTGTTTGGGGTGTTTGGGGTGTCTGGGACATTCAGGGTGTTTGGGCTGTTTGGGGGATTTGGGGTGTTTGGGGTATTGAGGGTATTTGAGACATTCAGAGTATTTGGGGTGTTCGGAGTATTTGGGGTGTTTGGGGTATTTGGGACGTTCAGGGTATTTGGGATATTCGGGAACCTCTTCCAGCGCTCAGGGGCAGGTATGGGATGCCCCAGAATGTTTGGGGTATTCGGGATATTCACGGCATTTGGGGCATTTGGGATGTTTGGGACATTCTGAGTATTTGGAGTATTCGGGGCACTTGGGATATTTGGGGGGTTTGGGATATTCGGGGGGTTGGGGCAATTTGGGGGGTTTGGGATGTTCATGGTGTTTGGGAGATTTGGGGTGTTTGGGGTATTTGGGGTGTTCGGGATGTTTGGGGTGTTTAGGGGGTTCAGAGGGTTTGGGGAATTTGGGGTATTAGGGGTGTTTGGGGAATTTGGGGAATTTGGGGTGTTCAGGGTATTCAGGAATCTCTTCCAGTACCCGGGGGCAGGTGCGGTGGGACGGATGTTTGGGGTTTTTGGGAAATTCTGGGGATTTGGGGTATTCAGGGCATTTGGGGTGTTTGGGGTATTTGGGGTTTTTGGGACGTTCTGGGTATTTGGGGTATTCAGGGTATTTGGGGTGTTTGGGATATTCAGGAATCTCTTCCAATACTTGGGGGGCAGGTATGGGGTGCCCAGGGCTTTGGGGTGTTTGGGGTATTTGGGGTTTTTGGGACATTCTGGGTATTTGGGGTGTTCGGGATATTTGGAGTATTTGGGGTGTTTGGGATATTTGGGGTATTTGGGACATTTGGGGTATTGGGGGCGTTTGGGGTATTTGGAGTGTTCGGGGTGTTTGGGGTATTTGGGATATTTGGGGTATTTGGCATTTTCGGGATATTCTGAGTATTTGGGATTTTGGGGATATTCGGGACATTCAGGGTATTTGGGGTATTCGGGATAATTGGGATATTTAGGATGTTCTGCATATTTGGGATATTCAGGATATTCGGGATATTTGGGGTATTTGGAGTATTTGGGATATTCTGTATATTCAGGATATTCGGGATACTTGGATTACGTTTGGGATATTTGGGATATTCTGGATATTTGGGATATTCTGGGTATTTGGGATATTTGGAGTATTCGGGAGCTGGGAGAGAATGGAAGAGAGATTCCTGTGGATGGGAATGGGAAGGGTGGGAAAAGTGGGAATGGAAGAGGAGACTGGGGAGGAATTTTGGGAATTCCCAGAGAATCCCTGGGAGTGTCCAAGGAAAGGCTGGAAAATCCCGGAATTGTGGGGTGGGAATGGGATGGGATTGAAGCTCCATGGATCCCATCCCAAACCATTCCGGGATTCTGGGATCCAGGACACTCAGGATCCATCCCGAGGGATTTTTATGGGATCTGGGGATGGAAAAGGGAAGGGAGAAACTTCCTGGAGTCCTGAATTCCCAGGGAATTTCCAAAATTCCTTCCAGAGAGGAGCTGGGATGGGGATGGATCCAATGCCAGGCTGGGAGAGCTGGGAATGGAGGGAATTCCCTGGGAAAGGGGAAATGGGATTGGGGAAGGAATCCCCAGAGAGAGAATCCCTGGGAACATCCAAGAAAACCTTGGAGCACCCTGGGGATGAAAATTCCACCTCCCTTCCCACCCAACCCAAGAGCCCCAAATCCTTGGTGGAATTCCCCGGGATGGGGATGTGGGAACGTGGGAGTTTTGGGAATTTGGGACGGAGTTCCCGGTGTCGTGACGGCGCTGCCGGCGTTCCCAGGGCTGGGCCAGCAGCCGGACCCGTCGGGATTCGCGCCGGCGGCGGCGCTGAGCCCCGGCAGCCCCCTGGTGTCGCCGCAGCTGCCGCCGGCGCCGCCCGCGCCCGGGTACCAATCGCCGGAGCTGAAGCCGTGGCAGGCCGGGAACGTCGGCAATAACGGGTGAGGGAGCGGCGCCGGGACGGAGCACGGCTGGGGGAGGGAGGGAGGGATCGGCCTTCGGGATTGTCCATGGGAATTGTCCATTGGGATCGTCCATTGGGATCGTCCATTGGGATTGTCCATTGGGATTGTCCATGGGAATTGTCCATTGGGATTGTCCATTGGAGTCACTCATTGGGATTGTCCTTTGGGATTGTCCATGGGAATTGTCCATTGGGATCGTCCATTGGAGTCACTCATTGGGATTGTCCTTTGGGATTGTCCATGGGAATTGTCCATTGGGATTGTCCGTTGGAGTCACTCATTGGGATTGTCCTTTGGGATTGTCCATGGGAATTGTCCATTGGGATTGTCCTTTGGGATTGTCCATGGGAATTGTCCATTGGGATTGTCCATTGGAGTCACTCATTGGGATTGTCCTTTGGGATTGTCCATGGGAATTGTCCATTGGGATTGTCCATTGGAGTCACTCATTGGGATTGTCCTTTGGGATTGTCCATGGGAATTGTCCATTGGGATTGTCCTTTGGGATTTTCCATGGGAATTGTCCATTGGGATTGTCCTTTGGGATTGTCCATGGGAATTGTCCATTGGGATTGTCCATTGGAGTCACTCATTGGGATTGTCCTTTGGGATTGTCCATGGGAATTATCCATTGGGATTGTCCATTGGAGTCACTCATTGGGATTGTCCTTTGGGATTGTCCATGGGAATTGTCCATTGGGATTGTCCTTTGGGATTGTCCATGGGAATTGTCCATTGGGATTGTCCATTGGAGTCACTCATTGGGATTGTCCATTGGGATTGTCCATGGGAATTGTCCATTGGGATTGTCCATTGGAGTCACTCATTGGGATTGTCCTTTGGGATTGTCCATGGGAATTGTCCATTGGGATTGTCCATTGGAGTCACTCATTGGGATTGTCCTTTGGGATTGTCCATGGGAATTGTCCATTGGGATTGTCCATTGGAGTCACTCATTGGGATTGTCCTTTGGGATTGTCCATGGGAATTGTCCATTGGGATTGTCCATTGGAGTCACTCATTGGGATTGTCCTTTGGGATTGTCCACTGGGATTGCCCGTTGGAATCATCCATTGGGATAATTGTTCATTGGGATTGTCTGTTGGGATTGTCCATTGGAATGTCCACTGGGATTGTCCTTCGGAGGGATTCGTTGGGATTGTCCATTGGGATTGTGCATGGGCATTTCCATTGGAATCATCCATTGGGATTGTTTGTTGGCATTTTCCAATGGAATCATCCGTTGGAATTGTCCTCTAGAAATACCCATTGGAATCATTGTTTGGAATTACCCATTGGAATTATCCATCAGGAGTCGCTCATTGGGATTGTCCTTTGGAATCATCCGTTGGCATATTCCATGGGAATTGTCCACTGGGATTGTCCATTGGAGTCACCCAATGGAATTATCCATTGGGATTGTCCATTGAGATTGTTCTCTGGAATTACCCACTGGAATCATTCTTTGAAATGACTCATTGGGAAGGTCCATTCGAATTATCCTTTGGAATTGTCCATTGGGATCATCCATTGGGATCGTCCATTGAGACTGGCCATGGGAATGTCCATTGGAATCATCCCTTGGGATTGCCCTTTGGGGTCATCCATTGGGATCGTCCATTGGAGTCACCCATTGCAATTATTTTATGGGACTGTCCATTGGGATTGTTTGTTGGCATTTTCCAATGGAATCATCCCTTGGAATTGTCCTCTAGAAATACCCATTGGAATCATTGTTTGGAATTACCCGTTGGAATTATCCATCGGGAGTCGCTCATTGGGATTGTCCTTTGGAATCATCCGTTGGCATATTCCATGGGAATTGTCCACTGGGATTGTCCATTGGAGTCACTCATTGGCATTGGCTGTTGGGAACATCCATTGGGATCACCCTTTGGGATTGCCTGTTGGGGTCATCCGTTGGGGATTTACCATTGGGATTGTCCGTTGGGATTGTCCAATGGATCCACCCGTTGGGTTTGTCCATTGGGATTGTCCCTTGGAGTCACCCATTGGGATTGTCCATTGGGATTGTCCATTGGAATGTCCATGGCCATTGTCCATTGGAATATTCCTTTGGGATTGTCCATTGGGATTGCCCTTTGGGATCATCCATTGGGATCGTCCATTGGAGTCACCCATTGGAATTATTTTATGGGACTGTCCATTGGGATTGTCCTTTGGAATTGTCTACTGGGATTGTCCCTTGGGATTGTCCATTGAGATTGGCCATGGGAATGTCCATTGGAATTATCCCTTGGGATCGTCCATTGGGATTGTCCATTGGGATCATCCATTGGGATTGTCCGTCGGAATTGTCCTTTGGGATCATTCATTGGGATCATCCATTGGGATTGTCCGTCGGAATTGTCCTTTGGGATCATCCATTGGGATCGTCCATTGGGATCGTCCATTGGGATCGTCCATTGGGATTGTCCATTGGGATTGTCCATTGGGATCGTCCGTCGGGATTGTCCATTGGGATTGTCCATTGGGATCGTCCGTCGGGATTGTCCTTTGGGATCATTCATTGGGATCATCCATTGGGATTGTCCATTGGGATCATCCATTAGAATTGTCCATTGGGATTGTCTGTTGGGAATGTCTGTTGGGATTGTCCATTGGGATCATCCATTGGGATCATCCATTGGGATCGTCCATTGGGATTGTCCATTGGGATCATCCATTAGAATTGTCCATTGGGATTGTCCTTTGGAATTGTCCTTTGGGATCATTCATTGGGATCGTCCTCTGGAAATATCCATTGGCATAATTCTTGGAAATTACTCATTGGAATTTTCCAATGGAATCATCCATTGGAATTGTCCTCTGGAATTAATTCTATTGGAATCATTCTTTCAAATTATCCATTGGGATTTTCCATGGGAATCATCCATTGGAATGTCCTTTGGGATTGTCCATTGGAGTCACTCATTGGGATTGTACATTGGATTCATCCCTTGGGATTGTCTCTTGGGATTGTCTCCATGGCAACGTCCATTGGAATCATCCCTTGGGATTGTCCAGTTGGGAACATCCATTGGGATTGTCCACCACTGGAATCATCCATGGACATTGTCCATTGGGATTGTCCATTGGAGTCACCCAATGGAATTACCCATTGGGATCGTCCGTTGGAATTGTCCTCTGGAATTATCCATTGGAATCATTCTTTGAAATTGTCCATTGGGATTGTCCATTTGGATTGTCCAGTGGAATCATCCATTGGGATTATCCTTTGGAATTGCCCACTGGAATTGTCCAATTGAATTATCTGTTGGAATTATTAATTTAAATTATCCACTGGTATTCTTCTTTGGGATTATCCATGAGGATTGTCCATTGGATTCTTCATTGGTATTGTCCATTGGGATTGTCCTTTGGAGTCATTCATTGGGATCATCCATTGGGATTGTCCTTTGGGATCATCCATTGGGATCATCCATTGGGATCGTCCATTGGGATTGTCCTTTGGAATCATCACTGGAGTCACTCATTGGGATTATCCATTGGGATTGTCCATTGGGATTATCCTTTGGAATTATCCATGGGAATTAGCCATTGCAATTATCCATTGGATTCATCCATTGTAGTTATCCTTTGGTATTTGCCATTGGAATTGTCCATGAGAGTCACCCTTTGGAATATTCCATTGGAATAATCCGTTGGACTAATTATTTGGATTTATCCATTGGAATTGTCCATGAAATCGCCCACTGCAATTACCCGTTGGGATTATGCATTGGATTTAGCCATCAAAATCATCCTTTGGAATTTTCCGTGGGAATTATCCATTGGAATCATGCTTTGGAATTATCCATTGGAGTCACCCATCGGAATCACCCATCGGAATCGCCCATTGGGACTGTCCATGGGAATTGTCCGTGGGAATTGTCCATTGGAGTCTCTCATTGGGATTATCCATTGGAATTATCCATTGGATTCATCTGCTGGAATTATCCTTTGGTATTTTCCATTGGGATTTTCCATTGGGATTTTCCATGGGAATTATCCATTTGAATTACTTATGGAGAATTATCCTTTGGAATTATTCATGGAAATTGTCCGTCGGAATTACCCATGGGAATTATCCATAGGATTTACCCATTGGAATTTTCCATTTGGATTATCCATTGGAATTGTCCTTTGGAGTCAGCCGTAGGAATTATCCACTGGAATTTTCTATTGGAATTACCCATGGGAGTCACCCATTGCAATCATCCACAGGAATCATCCATTGGAATTTTCCATTGGAATAATTCTTTGCAGTTGTCCATTGGAATTATCTATGGGAATTATCTGTGGGAATTATCCATTGGATTCAGCAATGGAAATCACCCATTGGATTAATCCTTTGGAATTATTCTTTGGAATTATCCATTGGATTCGTCTTTTGGAACTGTCCATTGGAATTATCCCTGGGGGTCACCCGTAGGAATTATCCACTGGAATTATCCATTGGAATCACCCGTGGGAATTATCCATGGGAATCACCCATTGGAATTATCCATGGGAATCATCCATGGGAATTATCCATGGGAATCACCCACTGGAATTACCCTTTGGAATTACCCATTGCAATTATGCATGGGAATTATCCATTGGAATTACCCATTGGAGTTATCCATGAAAATTACCTATTGGAATTATCCTTGGGAATTATCCGTCGTAGCCATTTTTTGGAATTGCCCATTGGAATTACCCATGGGAGTCACCCACGGGAACATCCTTTGGAATTTTCCTTTGGAATTTTCCATTGGAGTCGCCCACTGGAATCACCCTTTGGAATTATCCTTTGGAATCACCCATGGGAATCGCCCGTTGGATTTATCCATTGGAACTACCCACTGGGATTATCCATGGGAGTCACCCATTGGAATTGTCCAGTGGAATTTTCCATGGGAGTCACCCATCGGAATTATCCTTTGGAATAATCCATTGGAATTTTCCACTGGAGTCACCCACTGAAATAATTCCTCGGATTTATCCATGGGAATCACCTGTTGGAATTATCCATTGGGTAAATCCATTGGAATCGTTCTTTGCAATTATCCATTGGAATTATCCTCTGGAATAATTCTTTGGAATCATCCATGGGAGTCTCCCTTTGGAATCACCTCCTGCCCTTGGGACGGGGCCGTGGATTCCTGGGAATGGGAAATGGGACTGGGAATGGGGTCGGGAATGGGGTGGGATGGACTTGGAGCAGATCCCGATTCCCACTGGGATCCCCATCCCAAAATCCCACAAAACTTTGCTCCGGAGGGCACCGAGTGCTGGTTATCTAGGAAATTCCCAAGGGATCCACGTTTGGGATTCCCTTCGTTGGGATTGGGATCAAAGTTTGGAGCCGGGACAGCCTTGGGGGTGCAGAGACATCCCGGGAAATTCCGGCCCTTGGGATGGGGCCGCGCACCCCTGGGAATGGGATTGGGAATGGGATCGGGATTGGGATCAGGACTGGGTGGATTTAGGGTGGGAGAAACTCCAGGGAAAGGGAGGATTGGGGTGGGATCTTGGGAAGGAATTCCTGACTGGGCTGGAATTCCCAGAGAATCCCTGGGGGTGTCCAAGGAAAGGCTGGAAAATCCCGGAATTGTGGGGTGGGAATGGGATGGGATTGAAGGTCCCTGGATCCCATCCCAAACCATCCCGGGATTCTGGGATCCAGGACACTCAGGATCCATCCCCAGGGGTTTTTATGGGATTTGGGGATGGAAAAGGGAAGGGAAACCCTTCCTGGAGTCCCAAATTCCCAGGGAATTTCCAAAATTCCTTCCCAGAGAGGAGCTGGGATGGGGGTGGATCCAATGCCAGGCTGGGAGAGCTGGGAATGGAGGGAATTCCCTGGGAAGGGGGAAATGGGATTTGGGAAGGAATTCCCGGCTGGACTGGAATTCCCAGATAATCTGTGGCTGTCTCACCCTTGGAACTTTTCCAAGGAAAAATCAGAGCCTGGAATATTCCTGGAGTTTTTCTCTAAAGTCCCTTCCCACTCAAACCATCCTGGAATTCCCTGAACCCCAAATCCTCGCAGAACAAAGGGAAAAGAGGGGGAATTCGGGAAGGAATTCCTGGAAAATCCCCAGGAAAACTTGGACCACCCCAGGATGGGGCGGGACCGGAACGCGACGGAACCGAACCTCGGCCATCCCAGCACCGGAGCCGTTTGGAATTCCGGGGAATTGGAAATTTGAATTTTTTTGGGATGATCCCGGCCGTTCCCGACATTTTTTCCCGGTTTTCCAGCGTTTTCGGCCCGGCGGGCGCGGCGGCGGCGCCGGCGGCGGCGCCGGGGATGTACAACAACATGAGCATCACCGTCTCCATGGCCGGCAGCGGGGCCGGCACCGGCATTCCCGGCTCCGGCGGCGGCATTCCCGGCTCCGGCGGTGGAATTCCCGGCTCCGGCGGCATTCCTGGCTCCGGTGGAATTCCCGGTTCCGGCGGCGTTCCCGGCGGTTCCGGCGGCGTTCCCGGCATGGGCGCCATGGGCGGCGGCATTGCCATGAATCCCGTCATGGCCGGCATCAACTCCATGTGCTCGGAGCAGGTGGGGATGGGAATGGGAATCACCGGGAATGGGATTGGGAATGGGGATGGGAATCACTGGGGTTTGGATTGGGATTGTGATTGGGAATGGGAATCACTGGGAATGGGAATGACTGGGGATGGGGATGGGGAATGGGATGGGAATGGGAATGGGAATGGGGTGGGAATGGGAATGGGAATGGGGATGGGAATGGGATTGGGAATGGGGAATGGCGATGGTAAATGGGGATGGGAATGGGAATCACTGGGAATGGGAATGGGTTGGGATGGGATGGGATGGGATTGGGAATGGGGATGGGAATGGAATTGGGGATGGGGATGGGATGGGATTGGGGATGGGAGTGGAGAGGGGGATGGGATGGAGGTGAGGGTGCAGAAACATCTGGAGAAGTTCCAGGTGCTGGGATGGGGCTGTGGATCAATGGGAATGGGATTGGGAATGGGATCAGGACTGGAATTGGGAATGGGATCGGGAATGGGATCAGGAATGGGGAATGGGATCGGGAATGGGAGCAGGACTGGGTGTGCATAGGGCAGGAAGGGGGCAAGGAGAGGAGAACGTTGGAGCAGATCCCAACATCCCATTGGGATCCATCGTGGGTCCCCACCCCAGACCCCGCCGAACGCGAGATCCATCCCAAACCCCAGATCCCCATCCCAAACCCCCAGAACCGTGCTCGTTCCCTTCCCCGGCATTCCCACCGTTCATTCCCGCCATTCATTCCCGCCATTCATTCATTCCCGGCACTCACTCCCACCATTCCCGCCATTCATTCATTCCCGCCATTCATTCTCGCCATTCATTCCCGGCACTCGTTCCCACCATTCATTCCCGCCATTCATTTATTCCCGGCACTCATTCCCGCCATTCGTTCATTCCCGCCATTCATTTATTCCCGGCACTCATTCCCGCCATTCGTTCATTCCCGCCATTCATTCCCGCCATTCATTCATTCCCGGCACTCATTCCCGCCATTCGTTCATTCCCGCCATTCATTCCCGCCATTCATTTATTCCCGGCACTCATTCCCGCCATTCGTTCATTCCCGCCATTCATTCCCGCCATTCATTTATTCCCGGCACTCATTCCCGCCATTCATTTATTCCCGGCACTCATTCCCGCCATTCATTCCCGCCATTCGTTCCCATCACTCATTCCCGCCATTCATTCATCCATCACTCATTCCTGCCATTCGTTCCCATCACTCATTCCCGCCATTCATTCCCATCATTCATTCCCGCCATTCTTTCCCATCACTCATTCCCGCCATTCATTCCCATCACTCATTCCCGCCATTCATTCATCCATCACTCATTCCCGCCATTCTTCCCCATCATTCATTCCCGCCATTCATTCCCGCCATTCGTTCCCATCACTCATTCCCGCCATTCATTCCCATCATTCATTCCCGCCATTCGTTTCCATCACTCATTCCCGCCATTCATTCATCCATCATTCATTCCCGCCATTCGTTCCCATCACTCATTCCCACCATTCATTCATCCATTCATTCCCGCCATTCGTTCCCATCACTCATTCCCGCCATTCATTCATCCATTCATTCCCGCCATTCGTTCCCATCACTCATTCCCGCCATTCATTCATTCATCCATTCATTCCCGCCATTTGTTCCCATCACTCATTCCCGCCATTCATTCCCATCATTCATACCCGCCATTCATTCCCATCATTCATTCCCGCCATTCGTTCCCATCACTCATTCCCGCCATTCATTCCCATCATTCATTCCCGCCATTCGTTCCCATCACTCATTCCCGCCATTCATTCCCATCATTCATTCCCGCCATTCGTTCCCATCATTCATTCCCGCCATTCATTCATCCATTCATTCCCGCCATTCATTCATCCATTCACTCCTGCCATTCGTTCCCATCACTCATTCCCGCCATTCATTCATTCATCCATTCATTCCAGCCATTCGTTCCCATCACTCATTCCCGCCATTCGTTCCCATCATTCATTCCCGCCATTCATTCATCCATCACTCATTCCCGCCATTCGTTCCCATCACTCATTCCCGCCATTCATTCCCATCATTCATTCCCGCCATTCGTTCCCATCACTCATTCCCGCCATTCATTCATCCATTCATTCCCGCCATTCGTTCCCATCACTCATTCCCGCCATTCGTTCCCATCACTCATTCCCGCCATTCATTCATTCATCCATTCATTCCCGCCATTCGTTCCCATCACTCATTCCCACCATTCATTCATCCATCCATTCATTCCCGCCATCCATCCATCCATCCATCCATTCCCTCCGGCTGTCCCTCAGGTGCCGGAGGCGGCGCTGAGGCCCCCGGGGCTCTTCTGTCCCCAGCTGGGCCCCGCGGAGCTGCTCAAGCCCGAGCCCGACGGCGCCCAGGTACGGACACGGGCACCGGCACGTCCCCAACTGTCACTGCAGGCTGGGGAGGGGACAGTCCCCAACTGTCATTGCAGGGCTGGGGAGGGGACAGTCCCCAACTGTCACTGCAGGCTGGGGAGGGGACAGTCCCCAATGGTGTCACTGCAGGCTGGGGAGGGGACAGTCCCCAACTGTCACTGCAGGGCTGGGGAGGGGACAGTCCCCAACTGTCATTGCAGGGCTGGGGAGGGGACAGTCCCCAACTGTCACTGCGGGCTGGGGAGGGGACAGTCCCCAACTGTCACTGCAGGGCTGGGGAGGGGACAGTCCCCAACTGTCACTGCAGGGCTGGGGAGGGGACAGTCCCCAATGGTGTCACTGCAGGCTGGGGAGGGGACAGTCCCCAACTGTCACTGCAGGCTGGGGAGGGGACAGTCCCCAATGGTGTCACTGCAGGGCTGGGGAGGGGACAGTCCCCAATGGTGTCACTGCAGGCTGGGGAGGGGACAGTCCCCAACTGTCACTGCAGGGCAGGGGAGGGGACAGTCCCCAACGGTGTCACTGCAGGCTGGGGAGGGGACAGTCCCCAATGGTGTCACTGCAGGGCTGGGGAGGGGACAGTCCCCAACTGTCACTGCAGGGCTGGGGAGGGGACAGTCCCCAATGGTGTCACTGCAGGCTGGGGAGGGGACAGTCCCCAACTGTCACTGCAGGCTGGGGAGGGGACGGTCCCCAACAGTGGCACGCAGGGTCCCCAAGGTGTCACAACAGCAGGGCCTGGGGTGGGGACAGTTCTTCCAGGTCATGGGTGGCACCCTGTGTGGTTGAAGTCACCAAGGTCACAACCAGTGCTGGGTGACACCATCGGGTGACACCTCTCAGGGTTGGTGCCGCCACAGTGCCACCAGCATTGGGTGACACCCATGGGGTGACACCGTTGGGATTGAAGGCACCATGGTCACACCAGTGTTGGGTGGCACCCATTGGGGTTACAGCCACCAGGGTGCCACCAGCACTAGGTGACACCCCTTGGGGTTGGAGCCACCAAGGTGCCACCAGTGTTGGGTGACACCTCTTGGGGTTGAGGTCACCAAGGTCACGGCCATGTTGGGTGGCACTCAGGGGGGTTGAAATCACCGAGGTGTCGCCAGTGTTGGGTGACACCCACTGGGTGTCATCTCTTGGGGTTGAAGTCACCATGGTGTCATCAGCGTTGGGTGGCACCCGGTGGGGTTGGAGCCACCGTGGTGCCACCAATCTTGGGTGACACCCAGTGGGGTTGGGGCTGCTAAGGTGCCACCAGTGTTGGTGTCACCCACTGGGGTTGGAGCCACCATGGTGCCACCAGTGTTGGTGCCACCCAGTGGGTGTCACCTCCTGGGTTGGAGCCACCATGGTGCCACCAGTGTTGGTGCCACCCATTGGGGCTGAGGTCACCAAGGTCACACCAATGTTGCGCGACCCCCAGCGGGGTTCAGGTCACCATGGCGCCACCAATGTTGGGTGACACATTGGGGTTGGAGCCACCATGGTGCCACCAGCGTTGGGTGAAATCTCTTGGGGTTGAGGTCACCAAGGTCACAGCCATGTTGGGTGGCACCCATTGGGGTTACAGCCACCAGGGTGCCACCAGCACTAGGTGACACCCCTTGGGGTTGGAGCCACCAAGGTGTCACCAGCGTTGGGTGACATCTCTTGGGGTTGAGGTCACCAAGGCCACAGCCATGTTGGGTGGCACTCAGGGGGGTTGAAATCACCGAGGTGTCGCCAGTGTTGGGTGACACCCATTGGGATTGAGGTCACCATGGTGCCACCAGCATTGGGTGACACCCATTGGGTGACACCTCCTGGGGTTTAGGTCTTCATGGTCACACCAGCATTGGGTGACACCCATGGGGTTGAGGTCACCAGCGTCACACCAATGTTGGGTGGCACCCATGAGGTGACACCCGTTGGGGTTGGAGCCACCAAGGTCACACCAGTATTGGGTGACACCCATTGGGGTTGAGGTCATCATGGTGCCACCAGTGTTGGGTGACACCAAGGTACCACCAGTGTTGGGTGACACCATTGGGTGACACCTCTTGGGTGACACCCATTAGGTTTAGAGTCACCATGGTGCCACCAGCATTGGGTGACACCGTTGGGTTGAAGCCACCAAGGTTCAGCCACTGTTGCGTGACAGCCCTTGGGTTGAAGCCACCATGGTCACATCAGTGTTGGGTGGCACCCATTGGGTGACACCATTGGGTTGAAGCCACCATGGTCACCTCAGTGTTGGGTGGCACCCATTGGGTGACACCGTTGGGTTGAAGCCACCAAGGTCACCTCAATGTTGGTGACATCCTTGGGTTGAGGTCACCATGGTCATATCAGTGTTGGGTGACATCATTGGGTTGAAGCCACCATGGTCACATCAGTGTTGGGTGACACCCATTGGGTGACACCATTGGGTTGAAGCCACCATGGTCACCTCAGTGTTGGGTGACACCACTGGGTGACACCGTTGGGTTGAAGCCACCAAGGTCACCTCAATGTTGGTGACATCCTTGGGTTGAGGTCACCATGGTCATATCAGTGTTGGGTGACACCATTGGGTGACACCATTGGGTGACACCACTGGGCTGAAGCCACCAAGGTCCAACAATTACTGAGTGACCCCGTTGGGTTGAAGCCACCAAGGTCCCACCAGTGTTGGGTGACGCCATTGGGTTGAAGCCACCATGGTCAATGTTGGGGTGACACCGTTGGGTGACACCTCTGGGGTCGAAGCCACCAAGGTCCAACCAGTGTTGGGTGACACCGTTGAGTGACACCATTGGATTGAAGCCACCATGGTCCCATTAGTGCTGGGTGATGCTACCAGGTGACACCTCTTGGGTTGAAGTCACCAAGGTCCCACCAGTGTTGGCTGACAACCCCTGAGCTGAAGCCACCGCGGTCCCACCAATGCTGGGTGACACCATTGGGTTCGAGCCACCACAGTCACGTCAGTGCTGGGTGACACCATTGGGTGACACCATTGGGTTAAAGCCACCAACGTCCAGCCAGCGTTGGGTGACACCACTGGGTTGAAGCCACCATGGTCACCTCAGTGTTGGGCGACACCATTGGGTGCCACCATTGGGTTGAAGCCACCAAGGTCACCTCAGTGTTGGTGACATCCTTGGGTTGAGGTCACCATGGTCATATCAGTGTTGGGTGACACCATTGGGTGCCACCATTGGGTTGCAGCCAAGGTCCAACAACTGTTGAGTGACAACGTTTGGCTTGAAGCCACCAAGGTCCAACCACCATTGGGTGACACCATTGGGTTGAGGTCACCATGGTCACCTCAGTGCTCAGTGACACCATTGGGTTGAAGCCACCATGGTCAATCAACGTGTGGGTGACACCATTGGGTGCCACCATTGGGTTGAGGTCACCAAGGTCCCTTGAGCATTGGGTGACACCACTGGGTGACACCCCTGGGTTGAAGCCACCATGGTCACCTCAGTGCTCAGTGACACCTCTGGGTTGAAGCCACCATGGTCAGTCAATGTTTGGGTGACACCACTGGGTGACACTGTTGGGTTGAAGCCACCATGGTCCAACCACCACTGGGTGCCACCACTGGGTTGAGGTCACCAAGGTCCCTTGAGCATTGGGTGACACCACTGGGTGACACCGTTGGGTTGAAGCTGCCATGGTCCAGTCACCACTGGGTGCCACCACTGGGGTTGAAGCCACCAAGGTCAATCAATGTTTGGGTGACACCATTGGGTGACACCGTTGGGTTGAAGCCACCGAGGTCACCTCAGTGTTGGGTGACACCACCAGGGTCCCTTGAGTGTTGGGTGACACCATCGGGTGACCCCTTTGGGTTGAAGGCACCAAGGTCCAACCACCATTGGGTGACACCACTGGGGTTGAAGCCACCAAGGTCCCACCAGTGTTGGGTGACCCCACTGGGTGACACCTTTGGGTTGAAGCCACCAAGGTGCCACCAAAGCCACCCCACAGACCCCGGCGCGTCCCTGCCAGTGTTTGATTGCCTTTTTCCCGTTTTTTTTCCTTTTTCCCCTTTTTTTTTCCTTTTTTCCCGTTTTTTTTCCTTTTTTCCCTTTTTTCCTTTTTTCCTTTTTTCCCGTTTTTTTCCTTTTTCCCCTTTTTTTTTCCTTTTTCCCCTTTTTTTTCCTTTTTTCCTTTTTTCCTTTTTTCCCTTTTTTCCGTTTTTTTTCCTTTTTCCCCTTTTTTTTTCCTTTTTTCCCGTTTTTTTTCCTTTTTCCCGTTTTTTTTTCCTTTTTCCCCTTTTTTTTCCTTTTTTCCCTTTTTTCCTTTTTTCCTTTTTTCCCTTTTTTCCGTTTTTTTTTCCTTTTTCCCCTTTTTTTTTCCTTTTTTCCCGTTTTTTTTCCTTTTTTCCCTTTTTTCCTTTTTTCCTTTTTTCCCTTTTTTCCCGTTTTTTTTCCTTTTTCCCCTTTTTTTTCCTTTTTTCCCGTTTTTTTTCCTTTTTTCCCTTTTTTCCTTTTTTCCCTTTTTTCCTTTTTTCCTTTTTTCCCTTTTTCCCCTTTTTTTTTCCTTTTTTCCCGTTTTTTTTCCTTTTTTCCCTTGTTTCCTTTTTTCCTTTTTCCCCTTTTTTTTTTCCTTTTTTCCCATTTTTTTTCCTTTTTTTCCTTTTTTCCCTTTTTCCTTTTTCCCCCTTTTTTTTTCCTTTTTTCCCGGTTTTTTTCCTTTTTTCCCTTTTTTCCTTTTTTCCTTTTTCCCCATTTTTTTTCCTTTTTTCCCTTTTTTCCTTTTTTCCTTTTTCCCCTTTTTTTTTCCTTTTTTCCCGTTTTTTTCCCTTTTTTCCCTTTTTCCCCTTTTTTCCTTTTTCCCGTTTTTTTTTCCTTTTTTCCCCCTTTTTTTCCCGTTTTTTTCCCTTTTTTCCTTTTTCCCCTGTTTTTTTTCCTTTTTTCCCGTTTTTTTCCCTTTTTTCCTTTTTCCCCTTTTTTTTTCCTTTTTTCCCGTTTTTTTCCCTTTTTTCCCTTTTTTCCTTTTTTCCCTTTTTTCCTTTTTCCCTTTTTCCCCTTTTTTTTTCCTTTTTTCCCCTTTTTTTCCCTTTTTTCCCTTTTTTCCCCTTTTCCCGTTTGTCACTATTTCCCCGTCTCCCCACAGGTGCAGCAGGTGCAGGTGTTCGCGGACGTGCAGTGCACCGTCAACCTGGTGGGGGATCCCTACCTCAGCCCGGCCCCCCCCGGCCCCTTGGGGACCCCCAAAAACCCCAATGGGAACCCCCCGGCGCCCCCCGGGAGCGGCAAGAGCCTCCTGCAGCAGCTCCTCACGGAATGAACCCCAAAATTCACCCAAAATCCCCAACATTCACCCCGAAATTCACCCCAGGGCCCGGCAAGAGCCTCCTGCAGCAGCTGCTCATGGAATGAGCCCCAAAAACCCCAAAATTCACCCCAAAAACCCCAGCGGGGCCCCCCCGGCACCCCCCGGGAGCGGCAAGATCCTCCTGCAGCAGCTCCTCACGGAATGAACCCCAAAATCCCCAACATTCACCCCAAAATTCACCCCAGGGCACGGCAAGAGCCTCCTGCAGCAGCTGCTCACAGAGTGACCCCAAAATTCACCCCCAAAACCCCAAAATTCACCCCAAAACCAGAGATTGTTCTATGGGATCTCCTCCTGCAGCAGCTGCTGACAGAGTGACCCCAAAAACCCCAAAATTCACCCCAAAATTCACCCCAAAAACCCCAATGGGAACCCCCCGGCGCCCCCCGGGAGCGGCAAGAGCCTCCTGCAGCAGCTCCTCACGGAATGAACCCCAAAATTCACCCAAAATCCCCAACATTCACCCCAAAATTCACCCCAGGGCGCGGCAAGAGCCTCCTGCAGCAGCTGCTCACAGAGTGACCCCAAAATTCACCCCCAAAACCCCAAAATTCACCCCAAAACCAGAGATTGTTCTATGGGATCTCCTCCTGCAGCAGCTGCTGACAGAGTGACCCCAAAAACCCCAAAATTCACCCCAAAATTCACCCCAAAAACCCCAGCGGGAACCCCCAGGGCCCGGCAAGAGCCTCCTGCAGCAGCTGCTGACGGAGTGACCCCAAAAGCCCCGAAATTCACCCCAAAAACCCCAAAATTCACCCCAAAACCCCAAAACTCCACCCAAACCAGAGATTGTTCCATGGGATTTTCTCCTGCAGCAGCTGCTCAAGGAGTGACCCCAAAATGCCCAAAATTCACCCCAAAATCAGAGATTGTTCTATGGGATCTCCTGCAGCAGCTGCTCAAGGAGTGACCCCAAAATGCCCAAAATTCACCCCAAAACCAGAGATTGTTCTATGGGATCTCCTGCAGCAGCTGCTCATGTAAGGAGCCCCAAAACCCCAAAATTCCACCCTAAAACCCCAAAATTCACCCCAAAAACCCCAAAATTCACCCCAAAAACCCCAAAACTCTACCCTAAAACCCCAAAATTCCACCCTAAAACCCCAAAATTCACCCCTAAAACCCCAAAATTCACCCCAAACCCCAGAATTCTTCTATGGGATCTCTTCCTGCAGCAGCTGCTGACGGAATTCACCCCAAAAACCCCAAAATTCACCCCTGAAACCCCAAAATTCCACCCTAAAACCCCAAAATTCACCCCAAAACCAGAGATTGTTCTATGGGATCTCCTCCTGCAGCAGCTGCTGACGGAATGAGCCCCAAAAACCCCAAAATTCACCCCTGAAACCCCAAAATTCACCCCAAAAACCCCAAAATTCCACCCTAAAACCCCAAAACTCCACCCTAAAACCCCAAAATTCACCCCAAAACCCCCAAAATTCACCCTAAAACCCCAAAATTCACCCCAAAAACCCCAAAATTCACCCCTAAAACCCCAAAATTCACCCCAAACCCCAGAATTCTTCTATGGGATCTCTTCCTGCAGCAGCTGCTGATGGAATGAACCCCAAAAACCCCAAAATTCACCCCAAAAACCCCAAAATTCCACCCTAAAATGCCCAAAATTCCACCCTAAAACCCCAAAATTCACCCCAAAACCCCCAAAATTTCACCCTAAAACCCCAAAATTCCGCCCTAAAACCCCAAAATTCACCCCAAAAACCCCAAAACTCCACCCAAAAACCCCAAAATTCACACAAAAACCCCAAAATTCACCCCAAAAACCCCAACATTCACCCCAAACCCCAGAATTCTTCTAAGGGATCTCTTCTTGCAGCAGCTGCTGATGGAATGAACCCCAAAAACCCCAAAATTCACCCCAAAAACCCCAAAATTCACCCCAAAACCCCAACATTCACCCCAAAAACCCCAAAATTCCACCCTAACACCCCAAAATTCACCCCAAAACCCCAACATTCACCCCAAAAACCCCAAAATTCACCCCAAAAACCCCAAAATTCCACCTAAAACCCCAAAATTCCACCCTAAAACCCCAAAATTCACCCCAAAAACCCCAAAATTCCACCCTAAAAACCCCAAAATTCCACCCTAAAACACCAAAATTCACCCCAAAACCCAAACATTCACCCCAAAAACCAGAGATTGTTCTATGGGATCTCCTGCAGCAGCAGCTGCTGACGGAATGAGCCCCAAAAACCCCAAAATTCCACCCTAAAACCCCAAAATTCACCCTAAAAACCCCAAAATTCACCCCAAACCCCAGAATTCTTCTAAGGGATCTCTTCTTGCAGCAGCTGCTGACGGAATGAACCCCAAAAACCCCAAAATTCACCCAAAAAACCCCAAAATTCACCCCAAAAACCCCAAAATTCACCCCAAAACCCCAACATTCACCCCAAAAACCCCAAAACTCCACCCTAAAACCCCAAAATTCACCCTAAAACCCCAAAATTCACCCCAAAACCCCCAAAATTCACCCCAAAAACCCCAAAATTCCACCTAAAACCCCAAAATTCACCCTAAAACCCCAAAATTCACCCCAAAACCCGAGAGAATTATTCTATAGGATCTATTTTTGTGGGAATTTGGAGATTTTGGGGGGAATTTGGATTTTTTGGGAGGAATTTGGATTTTTGGGGAGGAATTTGGATTTTTTGGGGGGGAATTTGGATTTTTGGGGTGGAATTTGGATTTTTTGGGGGAATTTGGATTTTTGGGGTGGAATTTGGATTTTTGGGTGGAATTTGGATTTTTTTGGGGGGAATTTGGATTTTGGGGGGAATTTGGATTTTTAGGGAGGAATTTGGATTTTTGGGGTGGAATTTGGATTTTTTTGGGGAGGAATTTGGATTTTTGGGGAGGAATTTGGATTTTTGGGGTGGAATTTGGATTTTTTGGGGGAATTTGGATTTTTGGGGAGGAATTTGGATTTTTTTGGGAGGAATTTGGATTTTTGGGGAGGAATTTGGATTTTGGGGGGAATTTGGATTTTTTGGGAGGAATTTGGATTTTGGGGGGAATTTGGATTTTTTGGGGGGAATTTGGATTTTTGGGGTGGAATTTGGATTTTGGGGGGAATTTGGATTTTTTTGGGGGGAATTTGGATTTTTGGGGTGGAATTTGGATTTTTTGGGGTGGAATTTGGATTTTTTGGGGGGGAATTTGGATTTTTGGGGATTTTGACCCCCAGCCCTGCTGCAGGAATGTTTGGGGTGCAGATGGGAATTGGGGTGTGGGAAATGGGGCGGGGTTTGCACCAAGGCTTTCTCCTGGTTTTTTGGGGGGTTTTGGGCCTTTCCCCTGGTTTTTCCCTGGTTTTGTCCTTTTCCCCCCCTCTTTTCCTGTGTTTTTTTTCTCCCTTTCTTTCTCTCCTTTCCCGTGCTTTTTCTCCTTCTCTTTTCCCTGATTTTCCTCATTTTTCCCCCTCTCTCTTCCCAAATATTTCTCCTTTTTCCCCTCTCTTTTCCCTGTTCCTTCTCCTTTTCTCCTTTCTCTTTTTCCTGATTTTCCTCCTTTTCCCCCCTCTCTTTTTCCTGATTTTTCTCCTTTTGTTCCCTATTTTTTCCCTATTTTTCTTATTTTCTCCCTTCTCTTTTCCCTGTTTCTTTTCCTTTCCCCCATTTTTCTCCTTTTTCCCTCCGGTTTTCCTTCTTTTCCTCCAATTTTTCCTCCTTTTTTCCGCTTTCCTCCATTTCCTCTTTTTCTCTGTTTTCCTCCTTTTCATCTTCTCCGCTCCTTCTCCTTTTTTCCCCATTTCCCCCTTTTACTTTTTCCCCTTTCCCCCTTTTCTCTCCTTTTCCTCTTTTCTCCCATTTTCCCAATTTTCCTCCTCATATTTCCTCCTTCCCTTCTTTTTCCCTTCTTTTCTTCCATTTTCCTCCTTTTCCATTTTCCCCCTTCTTTCCCCCTTTTCCCCCTTCATTCCTCATTTTCTCCTTTTTCCCTCCCTTTTCTTCCCTTCTTTCCCATTTCTTTCTTTTCTTCTTTTCCATTTCCTCCTTTCCCCTTTTTCTCTTCCTTTCTCCTTTTCTCCTGTTCCTTTTTCCCCTTTCCCCTCTTTTCTCTCATTTTTTCCCTTTTTCCCCCATTTTCTTCCCTCTTTTTCCCTTTTTCCTCCTCCTTTCCCCGATCTTTCCCTTTTTCCCTGCTGTCCCCATTTTTCTTTCCTCCTTTTTCCCCCATTTTCTTCCCTATTTTTCTCCTTTTTTCCTCCATTTCCCTTTCCTTTGTTTTCCCCCTTTTTCCCCCACTTTTCCTCCTTTTTTTCCCCCTTTTTTTCCGCCCATTTTCTTTCCTCTTTTTCCTCCTCCTTTCCCCTCATTTTTCCTTTTCCCTTTCCCCCTTTTTTCCCCTTTTTTCTTTCCCCCTTTTCCCCCATTTTCTCCCCTTTTTTCCCCTTCTTTTTTCCCCATTTTCTTCCCTCTTTCCCCCCCATTTTATTTCCTCTTTTTCCTCTCCCCTTTTCCCCTTCTTTCCTCCTTTTTTCCCCATTTTCTTCCCTATTCTCCTCCTTTTTCCCCCTTTCCCTTTCCTCCTCCTTCCCCCCTTTTCTTTCCTCTTTTCCCCCTTTTCATTTCCTATTTTCCTCCTCCTTTTCCCTCCATTTTTCCCCATTTCCCCTTTTTTCCCTCCTTTTCTTCCCTATTTTCCTCCTTTTTCCCCCCTTTCCCCTTCCTTCATTTCCCCTTTTTCCCCCCCTTTTCCCCCATTTTCTTCCATTTTTCCTCCTCCTTTCCCTTCATTTTTCCCTTTTCCCCTCCCCTTTTTCCAATTTTCCCCTTTTTTCTTTCCTCCTTTTCCCCCCATTTTCTTCCCCCATTTTCTTCCCCTCTTTTCCCTCCTTTTTTCCCCAAATTTTCCCATTTTTTCCCAATTTTTTCCCTCCTTTTCTCC